GATACAGTGAAACAGGCATTTATGTGCATATATATATATATACTGTCATCCACAGACAGACCCACCGTTTTGCTGTATCACAGCTTATCAGTGTCGCTAGACATTCAGTTGCTTCAACCTGGGATTGAAATTTGACCAATTTGGCATCAGTCAGAGACTCAACACTTAAGCTATCAGCACATGACAAAGAAAGGGAATCTTTTAATGTATTATATATGTGATGCATATAAATGCAAAATCAGCAGCTGGAGTGCTCAATGATGTGTTATAAGCAGGAGCAGCCACTGTTTAAATCATAGTCCTCATAGTGCTCAATTGACGAATGAAAGCAAGTCATCCATATACAAGCCAGTGTATATATATGTTTATTCAAAAATTATAACAGAAGTATGTTATAACATTACTACAAAAATAGCCATTTTGCTTTAACACTTCTAGTGTCTTATCAAGTGATGGTGTTGATTGCAAAATAAAGTAAAACCAGTCAAGTCCCCAAATAGGGGAAACATTGTTATGTAACCCATAATGACTGATCAGAATACATGTATATGATAATTTAAAAAACATGACAACAGACCCTAAATACAGTCTATTAATGCATTAAACTTAACATTTGATTAAATTAGAAATCACCATAACTAATTAAGTTTTAATTTCATAGTAAAATTAAAAATTACAAATGTCAAATTCTAAATTTAACTGTGCATCAAGTTACAAAACTATTCAGAAATGAAACAAGGGGAAAAAATTTTTTTTTTAATTGTTCATAGCAAAGTGCTGATTTATCAGTTAAGTTCGACACTGAAATAAGAAGTACCTGTAATCCTAAATTTAACCAAGCATCAAGTTTAAAATATTACAAAATTATTCAGAAATGAAATAGGAGAAAAAAAAAATATATTTTTTAATTGTTCTTAGCAAAGTGCAAATTTATCAGTTAAGTTCGACAATGAAGTAAGAAGTACCTGTACTTGAGATATATATATATATATATATATATATATATATATATATATATATATATATATATATATATCTAGTGATATTAAAAATAATTCAACTGATACTAAATTTAAAAATTGTACATCTGTCTAAAAAAACTAACCTGTTAAGAATTTCAAATTAAAATTAGCATGTGTTCCACCAGAAAGAGTATAAATATGATATATTTATCCACCAGCTGGCCCTAATGAGCATTTTGAGTCACTACACCATTTTTGATTCATTGAATATATATATATATATATATATATATATATTATAAATCAACTGATTTAAAATATGGTTTCTTCACTACACAGTAATAACCATGTTTCAAAAACCATAACTAAAAACTTCAAATTGAATTATATAATTAAATTAAAAGCATTAGTTTTGTTTCGTCATCAAGTAAATTTTGGAATTTTTGTCTAATACCATCAATGGGGTTAGGCACATCTCATTCAGTATAGGCTCAGTTCTAGTGGAAAATTAGGTGTGCTTACCCCAGATGTGTTGTATGTTGAGTTGGATGAGAATTTCCGAGAAAAGCATTCAGCCTTATCAGCTGAGGATGTTAGGACTTCAAATTGATTGTATAGAGGAGAGATTGAGTATTTGCTATAGTTCAGCACACTCTTGCAGAGCTGCCAATAATCTTTAGAACCAAGCTTGTAAGATGCAATACATTGTTTCATCCTATCAGCAAACAGTAACTTTGCTTCATTGAAGACATGCTTGCACTCATTATGAGTAGAGACAATTGCAATCAGGTATGTTGCTCTGTACAGACAGATTCCTATGGGCTATAGTGGCAGAGCAAGCAGGTGACAACCAAGGAGATAAGCACGATTTTACTTGGTATTTTCTTGCTGTGATGCACATTTTTATATGTTCTCTCACACTCCTTAGTACTGGTTCCCATATTGGATTCATTTCTATGCTTGGTCAGCTCAGGAGATTTTCGTGGCCTAGCATATGTGCCGATTCCTTAGATTTACTAATTTTCCAATGATGTCTATGATTTCAACCTGATCCCACAGAGGGTGATGATCTCCCTTCACTCTCCATATGTGGTCAGCCATGCCTGATTTTTCCACTTTCTCTCATGTCACAGCTTTCTGGTGTTCTTGAAGCTTTACCTTAAGTGGGTGGCCTGTCTCCCCTTTATATTTCTTTCCGCAGCTGCTGAAACATTGTAATAAATATGGCGATAAAGATGAGGACAATAGTCCAAATAATGTAAATACTGTACATAATACCTCATCTCAGAAATATAGACAGATACATATACAGGTTGCAATGAAGAAATTGTCACCATTTTATATTTTTAATTTCACACATGCATTTTGTTTGTCTTATATTTTGTCGATGGCACAATATCATAGGGTTAGTTGAGCACTGTGAGAAAAAGAGAACCGTGATGCAATCCACTCTGCCATAATGTTATGGTAAACCCTTCTACAGTAAAATGAACTCTTCCTTCTCTCATAAATACTAACTGCGAGACTTCCTAGGACAGTTGTTAGGCAGTTGTTGAGCAGTCGAGATGCAGTGTAACCTGATCATTCGGATGTACACATCTATCTGCTTATTACTAACACTCTTGCTTTGTATATATCTGTTATTTCAACACACTTGTTCAACCTACCTTTGTCTTCCATGTCTTTCTTTTCTGGCCCCTAAACAGGCTACAACACATAAGCAGGTGATTCATTATGGCCCAGTGGATAAAAGCATTGGCTGAATCCAGTGACTTGACCCAAAGAGTTGTGAGTTCAGTAATTGACTAAAAAAAAAAAAAAAAAATTTAGAGGTTTGAGTTAAAGGGAAATAACTGAGATATCTGGAAGAGACATGGCACGTGGAACTAGAAAAATCTACCTCGGTACATGAAATAAAGGGGTTCAGTTTAAAATTCCAATCACTGAAGAAGGCGAAAGTGTACAACAGCCGAAACATCATGAACATGACAATAAAAGTGAAGACAACAGTCTGAACAATGTGAATAATGAATCATCTGCTTTTACTTTTGTTGAGGGGTCCACCCCTTTTTACACAAATGGACTCACCCAGTATATACATATACTACGGCTACGTGAAGACCCGAGAGAGTGAGACGAGAGTCGAGTCCAGAGGGACAGGGTAAAAGGTTGTAGGTAACCGGAAGAGTGAGGGTGAGGATAACAGTGTTATAGGAGTCACAGTGAGCAAGCACGTGGACTTAGTAAGAAGTCATACAGCGATACTTCAATACCAAAGACTATATATATATATTTTGCTACTAACCCGTATTCCTGGAACTTCTAACCTGCTTTACCAGTTTGTATTATTATGTTAATACATTATTTTCATATATTCATTCCTGGCGTTTGTTATTTATTGGTACCAGATTTCAACCCGGAATCCACAACAACTTTATATCCCACTTTTTATTCTTTATAGTGGTGTTCATCCTGTACAAGGCTCGAGAGCCACTCAAGATAGAGGGTTACTGATAAAAAGGTACAGCTTTTGTGGATATGAACAGATTAAGATTGTAGTGGTCATGGCAGTAACCTCCTGCTCTGCCATCCATTCGCTCAAGCTTGTCAGGTAGGCTGGGTATTGCTTTCCTCTGGCCGTCTTACCTTCAATCTGTCCACAAATTTTTCAAGATCTCTTTCCTCATTATGTGCCTCGGGAATTTCAACTGTTTCTTTTAGATTTTTTTTTAGTTTACAGTGGTGTTTAGTCTGTAACAGGAATTAGGACAACCGAAGGTAGAGGTTTACAGAGTAAGAGGCACAGTTTATGCGGATATGTGGGGAAGATAACGATTAACACTAGACTTGAACAGGTTAAGATTGTGGTGATCAGAGAAGCATCCTCTTGGGAGTCAGTTCCTCAAGGCAGTGGTTTGTGAGATGAAGCTGCTGGAGTGGAATTTGGAATTTTTGTCAACAGAATGTTAGGTTTTGGTGCATATCAACCTCAATGGGTCATTAAATGCCGACAACTTTTTTTTTTCTTGGTAATATTTTTGTTTTATCAAAAATCCATTTCTGTTAATATTTTTTTCTCAAAAAGGTATAGCTGGTAATATTACTTTTTTCAAAAACGTATAGCTTGTAATATTTTTTTTTTAAAAATGTACAGCTGGCAACATTATTTTTTTCAAAAACGTATTATCAGAGGCCTTGCAGTTGGACGTACTTTATCATCTTACCCAGGACACGGATGTAGTTTATCGTCATACCCAGGACGCAGATGAAGTATTTGCTCTAGCAGGGACCCTGACAGGTGTTACCATCCAAGGTCAGGGTGGACCTGGGGACACCAGCAATTAAGAGGTGGTTCCATGCTCCTCAAAATCTCTTGATCAGAGGCCTTGCTGTTGGACGTAGTTTATCGTCATACGCAGGATGCGGATGTAGTTTATCGTCATACCCAGGACGGGTGACTGTTGTAAGAGATATTTTAAATAAAATATGATGAAAGTAAATAAATAAAAAATGGTTTGTTCAGTGAATGGAACTACGCAGGTTAAAGATTCCCCACCCCTACAAATTTTCATCTGTGCCCCACATATTTTTGTGTTTTATTTAAATACAAAAATTTTGATTTTATGCAGACTTCCATATGGAAATTACATTAAGTATTTTTCTTATTTTTCAGATGAGTATCTTTATCTTAACAATGTTATTTTTATACTACGGTTCATCCAATACAAGGCCCAAGAGCCACTCAAAGTAGATTGTTGGTTGCTTTTGGTTAGTAGAATAGCAATCTCTATTAGTTATTTAATGTCAAAATCTAAACATTTTGTATGCAAGCTTATTTTATTTATTCTGATAATAATGGTTTTGTGATACAAGTTTTTTAATTATCCATACCTGGGAGGAGAGGTGGGGGATTCATACTTTTCAGAAGGGTATTTGCATGTAAGTGAATATAACGAACCCAACTGGAATTGAAACTCAGCTCTCGGATTAACAATTCCAAGCCATTATCCATTACACCACCTGCAAATCCAAGCTTAAAGCACCTGGTATTCCCAAGTGGTCACCAATCTAGGTACTGACCATGATCAACATTGCTTAACTTTGGTGATCATTCAGGAACCAGTGTTTCAATGTGATGTGGCTGTAAGCCACTCAAGGTAGAGGGTTACTTAATGATGTGTGTGTTATAAACTTAAGTGGATTAAATAGGAAGAGAATATTATAAGGATATGTAGGATAGATAAAAATTGACCCCAGACTCGAAGAGCTTAAGATTAGAGTGTTTTGGGAAACATCCACATAAGAGTCTATTCCACAAAGTAGCAGTTGTTAGAAAGTACCTGAGTGGAACATCCTTCTTAGTAATAGAATACAGAGGTAATAAGGGTGATTCAACTCTGTGGACATAGCAAAACAAGTCTTGGATGTAAAGGTCTGAACTGGGGACACAGAAAATGATGCTTGACAGAACATTTACGATGGAAGTAGTTATAGATTAGAAATAAGTTTGTGATGTTGTGCCTGTGAGAAAGAGGCTGAAGGTTGGAAAATAAGTAATCCCCCACAAGGCTGTGTAAATGATTTTGAACTCGGTCAAGGCTCGACATTGACTGTTTCTAGGCAAATCATTAATAAAAAGATGAATGTGGATAGGATCAAAAAGAGTCTTGAGGGATTCCTACTGTTATACGAGTCAAGGAGAAGGCTGCTATAATATTACACTGTAAGCGCATGTTGCTTTGGAATTCTAGATTCTACAAGCTCTCTCTCTCTCTCTATAGGCCAAGTCCCTTCAAGCTCTCTACAGCTTCCTATTTTTTGAGGCTTCTAACAATACTTGCACCTTTATGACCCCTTTTTCTTATGCAGTACTTTTCTACCATCTATTTGCTTGAACTTGTCAACTGGGATTCTCAGTTTTTCACTGACCTTTGATATACCCTGTAAGTGTTAGATTCTCCAAGGCTTCTTTTTTCAATCTGCATCACTTAAATTTTGGCTGTATCATTATGTGTGACAGAGAGAGAGTCTGAAAAACACACACACACACAGACACGTATATTTTTTTTCAGTGAAATTGGAGTAGATTTGAACAGCAAAATTAAATCAGAGCATTTTGTTTACTGATGGGGAAATCTGATCTAGGGCAGAAGTTGTACCCATTGAATCTGGGTCATCAGGAGACAATGGAAAAGATCGAAATAATTTTTATCAATTAAAAATTGAAATAGAGCTGAGTAAGCTAGAAGGAACTTTGGAATTCACATGATTTTGGTTGAAGCAGCCAGAAACCTGTGATAATCGTGTGCAAAGTAGTAGGGCCAAGGGTCAGTTATAACCAACCTGGTTTATCTATATAAATGCATAGTTATGCTGCAAAAGACAGGCAGGAGAAAATTCTTGGAGAAGAGAGAACTGGCCCGGGCAAGCGTTGGGAGGAGGAACGCCACTATAACTTTAAGCCCTGCACAGAAATCTTTATCCCTCCATCGCAAGAGTCATATATTGTTCTGAGATGATTTAGCAACAAGATAATCACATACACTCTCTCTCTGTCTAGAATCCAGTGTATGAGTTTTTTTATTTTTCTTTTCTGTAACCCGTCACTCTTCTCGACTATTCTTTTCTGCTATATAAAAGACATTAACAATTCAACCATTGAATCGATGTTTGTCCGGCTTTCTGCAGTTATAAATTTTTTTTTTGCTGCATTCTAAATTTCTTAGCACAGACTCCCCAGCTGTGTCGACATCTTCAGTCGACCGTGAATGGACGAACATCACTTCTGCTTTCTGGATCAAACAAATCACAACATGGGCAGGAAGCAGGATTAAACCGGCAGACCGGTCGAATAATCTACGGATTTCTCAGGGGACCTATGGCCACTCCCTTAAGTTCAGTTAGGACCGAGTAGAAACCTCAACCCCGAGAGTAAGACACCGGAGGTTGAGGGGCTGGGGCGAAAGTGTTAGATATATTCTTCTTAAAATTTCTTCATTTCTTACATAATTTGTTCATGTCGTCTCAGCAGAAGGAAAATTCACACCTAAGGAAGTCAAGATAAGATATTAGTCAAAATGTTAGGACAAGAACAATAATGAGGAAGACTAAGATTAAGATTAAGATTAACGTCAGAAGATTAAGATTAAAGCAACAAAGATTAAGATTAGAATAGTAAATAGAATGATATCAACCAAAGTATTAGTATAAAGGCAATAACTGATAAGAAGAATGTGTAGAATGACATACATCTGAGGAAGACTAAGATTAACTGTCTATATTTCTGAGATGAGGTATTATGTACATTATTTACATTATTCAGACTATTGTCCTCATCTTTGTTACCATATTTATTACAATGTTTCAGCCATTGTATGCTTCGGCCTTCTTCAGGTGGTTGGAATGTCAAACTTAACCCTTTATTTCGCTCACTGGGGTGGGGTAGACTGTTCTAGTTTCACGCGCCATGTTTAATGGATGTCAGTTATCAGTTATCGCCTGTTATTTCCCCTCTCCAAGTTCTCCACTGCCTATTGAACTCACACACTTTCGGTCCTGTCACTGGATCTAACCAACACCTTTATCCACTGTGCCATGTGTCCTTGAGGACATCTGTGTATGAATTTCTGGGTATTATAAACCTAATATCTTCAGCAACCATTTTTACTAGTGCTCATATTGCAATTTTTTGCTGTTATCATTGCATGTTTTTACCAGAGCTCATATTGTAACTTTTGTTGTTATCGCTTTTCTCTGGCACTCCTTATTACTGGTTCCCATACTGTATTCATTTCTATGTTTGGTCAGCTCAGGAGATTTTGTGGCCTAGCATATGTGCTGATTCCTTAAGTTTACAAATTTTCCAATGGCGTTCCCTGTCTATGATCTCAACCTGATCCCACAGAGGGCGGTGATCTCCCTTCTCTCTCCATAAAGGGTTACATTTGACATTCCAACCACCTAAAGAAGACCGGAGCGTACAACGGCCAAAATGTTGTAATAAATATGACGACAAAGATGAGGACAATAGTCCAAATAATGTAAATAATGTAACTAACGTCAGAAGGTTAAGATTAAAGCAATAATGTAACTAACGTCAGAAGGTTAAGATTAAAGCAATAAAGATTAAGATTAGAATAATAAATAGAATGATATCAACCAAAGTATTAGTATAAAAGCAATAAAGATGAAAACTTTTGATAAGAAGAATGTGTAAAATGTCATCTAAAGACCACTTGATGAAGGCCAAAAACATTTTGACTGAAATGGGTTAAAAGTATAAAACATAAAGGTACTGATCTGGGAATTGTGCACAATAGTTCCTATTAAATTTTACTACTGTTTACTGTTGTCGACAAATAAAATTATTGTATGTGTTGGCAGCTATTTGAACAATGCAAAATGTGAGTTCAATTCTTATCAGAAGATAATACAATCACCCTAATTAGTGCTGTTTGATAAAACATGAAAATGACCCGAGTTTGACAATGTCAAAAAGAATTGCTGGAACTATAGTAACAGAGAATCAGGTCAGCTCGATAAATATTAGAGGGAAGGAGAACAGATACTACACTTTGAACCCATCCTGATGGTATTACTTGAATAATACTGGCTGATCAGTGAATGAATAGCAAATGTTTCCTTTATAAGTGTAACAGAGAATCAGGTCAGCTCAATTAAAAGACTATTAGATGGAAGGAGAATAGATACTACACTTTGATCCCATCCTGATGGCATTTATTGAATAATAGTGGCTGCTCAGAGAATGAATGGCAAAGATTTCTCCCTATAAGTGTAAAAGAGAATTGTGTTGGTTCAATAAAAGACTCTGAGTTGGTTGTATACAGTGCTGTAAGCACCAGGAGTTGTGTTCCCTACCACAATGGGCTGTTGAGAGAAGATCTTCTACTTAGAGCAGGTAGCACAGACTATTTGCATATGAATGATACTAGGCAGGTATTAGCCAATAGTCAGCATGGGTCTAGGACTGGGAGAGCTATATAACACCAGAGTTTAGGCGGAGACATTAAAAGTACATAAGTAAACTAGACTTTAGAAGGAACCAGAAACCTAATCCTAAACAGGAAACAAGGGATAAATCTCTATCCAGTTCAAAGACCTGGGAGGAATGCAGTGACATGCAGAGATTTGGTAATGTCCAGGACCATCTTCTTGATTGTATGCCCTAAAATTTAAGTAGCGAGTCCTATAAGGATTAGTACTGAGAAATATGAAAAAGGAAGGTATTTTAAAAACAGATGAAATGTGAAATAAAGACATTATTCAAATTAACTATAAAACTAATTTTTATTTCACACATTAATTAGATGCCTTACCAATATATATGACCAGGGCTGTTGTACCATCTGCTACTGGAGGAATGTGAATTGGACAAAAAGCCAAACCCATCTACTACTATTGGTGAAAAATAATAAATAGTAAATACAGAGTTTAGGTGGTGACTTTATAAGTATAGAGTTGAAGTAAACTTCTGATTCCTTCTAAAGTCTACTTCAACTCTATACTTCAAACATTTCCAACTAAATTCAGACATTTTATTTACTATTTATTTTGTTTTCATCAATAGGAGTAGTCTAACAGAGAATCGGATCATCCTGATAAAAGAGTCCGAGTTGGTTGTACGTGGTGCCGTAAGCACCAGGAGTTGTGTCCCCTTCCGCAATGGGCTGTTGAAAGAAGATCTTCAATTTAGAGTAGGTGGCACTGACTATTTGCATATGAATAATATTGGACAGGTATTAGCCAATAGTTAGTGTGGGCTTAGGACAGGGGGAGACAGTGTTTTCTCAGCTGAGAGAGGTGCTCTGAACATGAAAACATTCGAAATCCAGACAAGACGAATACAACTAGGAGACATATTTGGGAACGATATTAGAACCCAGAATGTATACTGGCAGCAAACCACCTGCATATGGATAGAAAATAAATTTAGTAAAATAGAAAGGGATGTAAGACCCTGTATCTTCTCACTGGACTTATTCAACCTATATAGTGAAGTGGTTCTAAGAGAATTAGAAGTTCTACCAGGATTTATTATTAGTAGTCACAATCTTAACATAAGATATGCAGATGACATTGTGTTAATAGCAGACATAGAAAGGAAACTACAAGAACTCCTACAGAA